TCTCTCTCTCTCACTCTCTCTCCCCTACACACACACACATAAACACACATTCACCACACATACAGACACTTACAAGATGCAGTCTTGCACACACTGCGACTATGACATAGCGAAAACGGTGAAATACGGAAATATTTATATTATTAACTTTGAATTTCGCCACATGCTAGATCTAGAACTAGATCTAGAATCTAGGCATACTACATTAGGATGGTTAGGCCACAAATTTCATGTCACATCAAGGGAGAAAACTACATTTGGACCATTGGGTAAAAACATTTACATGAGTTATGTCCCGCCAAAAACAAGACAAGATTCTTGGCCTATTTGGGCATAGTTGTAGATCTAGATCTATGGAGTTATTGATATAACTAAAAGCCTGTTCATTTGTCTTGCTTGATGTAATATCTAGATCTAGATCTAGATTTTAGATCTAGTGTCTAGATCTAGATTTTAGATCTAAATCTAGATTAGATCTAGATTCTAGATTAGTGATTGAAGCAGGCGGGGTCACTTTGTGTTAGAATTAGATTCTAGAAGCACAAATGGCGGAAAAATTCCAAAAAAGTCTTCCACAGCTTTAAGCTTAGACATCTAGAATTAGATCTAGATACTAGATCTAGATTCTAGATATCCATCTAGATCTAGATTATAGATCTAGATCTAGAGAACAAGATTTAGTGCCATTGGAAACTGAAATGGCTTTCACTTTCAGCCCTCAAAGTAAGTGTAGGGTTTTATACCTAAACCTTAGGGTCAGGAATAGATCTAGACTTTTCTAGATTCTCTCCCTTTGACAATGCATCAGCAAACAAACACAAACATACTCATAACGCACTTGTATTTCGAAGTCGTCGAACTCTTGCCTAACTTGAACATCGAGTTCTTCTTTGAGTTTCACAAACTCATTTTTCTCGCTCAAGTACAAGACAACAGACTGTAACTGATCCAGTCTCTCCAGGAAATGCGTCATGTGAAAAGAGTTGGAAAGCACAGACATCAACGCCACAGTGCCGGGGCAGCTGTTTCACTTTTAGTCATATATTTGTTGCCTTAGTGTATTCTTCTCCATACACTTTTCTCTCCTGTAGCTTTAGAAAGAGTTAAGTAGGCGCTAGATCTAATCTAGTACGGTCAAACAGCGGACATTGTCTTTGTCAGGAAGTCAGGAACCGGAAACTAAACATACTTCAGAGTTTGATTTGAACTTTAACGCAGAAGAGCCGCTATGACGAACATTGAATAGAAATTTCGCGTATTTTAAAAAAAGTTGTAGGCCGAAATCTAAGCTAGTATAGATCTAGATCTAGCTCTAGATCTGGCTCACCAATATCACCATCCTAATCATCATCATCATCATTATATCATCTCCCCAACCCCCCTCTCTCTCTATCTCTTACCCCCCCCTC